GCTTGTGAAATGTAATTTATTACCAAACGAGGATATACGCTGCATTCCTCACATCTTTTTTCCCCGCACCCAGCAAAGAAAAAAATCTTGAACGTTTTTTTTTTTCCTTTTGTTTGTTGTTTTCCTTTTTCTTCTTCTTTAGGATTGACTTGATTTTTTTTTTTTTTATTTATTTCTTGTTTCTTTTACAATATTTTTTTTTTCTCTTTACTCGCCGGTAAGTAGCAGATACTATGTGCTGGAACTGGTGTCGCAAAGATGGCAAATACGAGCCACCAGTGGACGGTCGACTGGTTTGGGGCGAATGCCATATGCGCAAATAAAGTCATTTTAGTAAGTACAGAATATCGTAACATTTGTGAGTAAATCAATTCAAAACAATACATAAAGAGACACATACAAAGCACACAGGCTGAAACGCAAACATATTTACATGGAAGCACATATGCACACACACATACACAAGCTTTTTTTTATATATATATATATATATATATATATATATATATATATATATATATATATATATATATACAATTTATTTGTTTAAATGTTATTTTTAATGAATACTGATATTTGAGCAGATGCTCTATTTAAATGTGTATATATATGTTTGTATGTATATGTGTGCATATATATGTGTGTCTGTGTATGTATGTATATATATATATATATGTATGTATTTATATATATATGTATTTATATATATATTTGTTTATATATATATATATATATATATATATATATATGTATTTATATATATATATACATGTATATATTTACACACACACACATCTATATATATATGTGTGTGTGTTTGTTTTTGTGTGTATATATATATATATATATATATATATATATATATATATATATATATATATATATATATATATTGCCTTATTTTATATTCAACACCATCACTTGATAAAACACCAGAAGTGTTGAAACAAAATGGCTATCTTTGCAGTGATTTTATAACATATTTGTGTTATAATTTCCGAATAATTAATTATATATATATATATATAGAGAGAGAGAGAGAGAGATAGATAGATAAATAGATAGACATAATAAAGACTCTTTAAAATAAAATAAAATTTAAAAAACGGGGCCTCTTTTTCCAACACGGGTATCCACTAAAAATAACGTTTGAAGTAATGAATATATTATTATTATTATTATTATTATTATTAAAACGACATGTCTATTTGTGTACGGCAAGGTTTGATTACACCAGCAGGTGTTTAAATGTGAGTGCACTATAATGAAAAGATCGTGTTGCGCCAGTCTCCTTAATGCAAAAGCCTTTCCAACGGTTATTCGGCCCAACACTAAACTTCCTCAAGTGTGAAATAAACAACCATATATATATATATATATATATATATATATATATATATATATATATATATACACACACAAATACACAAAAACAACAAGTGCACAATAATATATATGTACACTTATTTTTTTTTTTTTATTAAGCGTTTCACCCCAAGCAAGGAGGGAAGCCATTAGCACGCAAGGAGTTACAGAAGATTTGGAGCGAGAGCAGATAGGAGTGATAGAAGAAAGGATGAGGAGAGGGATAGTGGATAGATCAAGGCAACTGGAGATGTCGATTGACATTACATTTGAATAGTTGGAGATTATAGCTCTCAGGGAAACTGGAATAGGGAAGGGTGTTCCACAGGCGAGAGGTTCGAGGTATGAAGCTACTGGAGTAGAAGAGACAGCTACATTTAACAGTTTTGACAGTGAAAGAGTGAGAGCAGGATGTCAGCCTTGTAGGACGCTTGAATTCATGAAGTCTGGGAACCAGCGAAGGCAGCTCCTCAGAGCAATTACCATAAAAGTATTTGTAAAAAAGAAGACATATGTAATGGACGGGTGGTTAGTAAGTTTGTATTCTGACCATGAGAATCGGGTTCGAATCTTATCATAGCCGATTTGTCAGGAAGGAGACATCCTGATCTTATCGAACTGGAAGAGTCGATCCCAGCGTGCGTACCTTTGGAAAGCGCCTAAAAAGAAAAAAACACGGGTTGACCCAAGCCTTGTAAGTGAAATTGGGTAGCTGGAACCCTTGTGGGCCGTCATTAGGTGTGCTAGCACGAACTCACAAATGTTTATCACGCTAGATAACACGTTCTTTCCCAAAAATTGTAACTAACGTTGTACAGTTGCAATATAAACCACTAGAGGGCTCTGTGGGTGTTGAATAAACACAAATGCGCCCGAGCAATAGGGATTGGCTAGCCGCCCTAGTAGACGAGAATCCTCGAATACAAGAGGCCAGCTATATATATATATATATATATTTCATACACACACGCAGAGACATACACACACAGACACTCACACACAGACATATATATATATATATATATATATATATATATATACAGTGTAACCCGGATATAAGAGAAACCCGGATATAAGAGAGATTTTCTCTGGTCCCAAATTAGAGCCTGTGTTAATGTATATAAATAGACCAAACCCGGATATAAGAGAAACCCGGATATAAGAGACTTCTTCTCCGGTCCCGACAAATCTCTTATATCCGGGTTACACTGTATATATATATATATATATATAGAGAGAGAGAGAGAGACAGAGAGAGACAGAGACAGAGATAGAGAGAGAGATTGAGAGATTTCAGAATGAACCGGAACATATATACATTGTATGTACAAATATAAGTATATCTCGTGAAAGCTATTGTTAATTTTAGCTCAATTTTAGATTGATCTGATATCTTTAAGCATACTATATACTTATCTCATATTTTGCGTCCTTAAGTGATAAAGCTTTTTTTATGTACCAATATATATATATATATATATATATATATATATATATACAAAGTATAGGATTGGTGTATGTGGAATAAATTCCGATAACCAAAAAATACTATTCTTTAAAAAGTAGAGCAAATATGATTTATTCGAAAATTATGACATAAGTATTTTTATAGTGATTTTATAACATATTTATGTCATAATTTTCAAATAAATTATATATATATATGTATGGCAACATTGAGTGGAAGAGCAGTAAAACTCGCACTAACACCTGCTCATATATGCATACACACACACACACACACACACACACACACGCACACGCACACACACACACACCCACATACACACACGCACACGCAAACATACACACATACACACACACGCACACACACACATACACACACACACGCACATACACATACACACACACAAAATGTGCGCACAAGCACCCTCGAAGAAAACATATAGATATATACATACATAAACACTGATATACATACATACATATAAGAATATATACGTACATATATGTATATATATATATATATATATATATATATATATATATATATATATATATATATGCTAAATTTATATATATACATATATATATATATGAAGAAAAAATATATACGGAAAAAACAAACAAAAATCCTTATATACAATTATGCTGTTTTAATGTTAATATGTCAACGTCAGACGTTTCGGTCTAATATCTTCAGGACATAATAAATTATCTTATCAATACATTTATTACGTCCTGAAGATGGTTTATTAGACAAACGTATTGACATATTAACATTAAAACAGCATAATTGTATATAAGGATTTTTTGGTTTTTTTTCCGTATATATTTTTTCTTCATACTGTCGGATTTATATCCATATATTTGCTTATATATATATATATATATATATATATATATATATATATATATATATATATAATAAAAAGGCTTAAACACTAATATTCCATGGTCATAATTTATTTCATTGAATCGTAAATACCATCCAATTAATCAGACCTACAAGTTCAAAAAGAAAACAGAAAAAACAACTCCGGAAATAAAAAATAGAATTTAGAGATATTTACCACTAATATTATCTCTCTCTCTCTCTCTCTATATATATATATATATATATAGATAGATAGATAGATAGATAGATAGATAGATAGATAGATAGATAGATAGATAGATATTATTTTATATGCTCGGTACTTATTGGAAAGAGCTCAATATCAGTGAGCGAACACATTCAGTTGTATGGATATGTGTTTGTGATCCGGGATTTCACGCTTTTGCGACCACAAGACAAACTGTTTTTTTTTTGTTTTTTTTTTTAATTGAATCTATTTTCAACTTGATAGATAGATAGATAGATAGATAGATAGATAGATAGATAGATAGATATGAAGAGAGTGAGATAGATATATAAAGCCGTGTATGATTCATTTGTCAATTTTAAATACCTACTTAAGTTATTTACAACGGCATTATCAATAATTCTATTCATATTTCCTTTTCAAACTTTGCTACTATTTCTTCCTGAATATAAAAGGAGAAAGACAAAAACACTCGTCCCACTTTTTTTTATTATTATTTTATCTTTTTAACTATGCTAACAGATTCTTCTCTCGCACTTCTCGCTTGTGGAACTCCCCCCTGCCTCTCTGCTTTCCAGCCAACTTTAATCTTTAGCAAAAATTTATATGCAATGTCAATCGTTATCTACTGTCCTCCTGATTACGTTTTTCTCTTTCTGTTCATCATTAATGTTTCTGTTCCTAATTTCTCCACACCCTGTAACCTCTTATGTTTTTAGTGGCATTACTGTCTTGCTTGGGTAATACCGATTAAATATATATATATATATATATATATATATATATATATATATATAAAATAAATAAGGGAAGAAAGTAAAAGAAGACGAAAGAAAGAAGAATTAATGAGTGGAAATTAAAATGAAAGAAATTAAACGAAAAATAGAAAAAAGAAAAGAAAAAGAAAGATAAAAAGAAATAATGGAAGAAAGTAAAAGAAAACTAAAGGAAGGAAGACGAAAAAAGATGGAAGTGTAAAAAAAAAGAGGAAAAGAAAGGAGGGAAGTACAATGAAAGAAAGAAAACGAAAGAAAGAGAAAAAGGAAAAGAACGAAAGAAAGAAAGACAAAAAGAAATAATATAAGAAAGTTAAAGAAAACAAAAGAAAGGAAGACGAGAAAGGAAGACGAGAAAGAAAGAAAAAGAAAGAAAGAAAGAAAAGAAAGAAAGAAAAGAAAAGAAAGAAAATTTAATGAGTGGAAATGAAAATGAAAGAAAGAAAACGAAAAGAAATAGAAAAAAAAAAAAAAGGAACGAAAGAAAGAAATGAAGACGAAAAAAAAGAAAAGAAAGGAAGACGAGAAAGGAAGACGAGAAAGGAAGACGAGAAAGAAAGAAAGAAAGAAAGAAAGAAAGAAAGAAAGAAAGAAAGAAAGAAAGAAAATTTAATGAGTGGAAATGAAAATGAAAGAAAGAAAACGAAAGAAATAGAAAAAAAGAAAAGAAAAAGAACGAAAGAAAGACGAAAAGAAATAATGGAAGAAACTAAAAGAAAGGAAGACGAGAAAGAAAGAAAGAAAGAAAGAAAGAAAGAAAGAAAGAAAGAAAGAAAGAAAGAAAGAAAGAAAATTTAATGAGTGGAAGTGAAAATGAAAGAAAGAAAACGAAAGAAATAGAAAAAAGAAAAGAAAAAGAACGAAAGAAAGAAATGAAGACGAAGAAAGAAAGAAAGAAAGAAAGAAAGAAAGAAAGAAAGAAAGAAAGAAAGAAAGAAAGAAAATTTAATGAGTGGAAATGAAAATGAAAGAAAGAAAACGTAAGAAATAGAAAAAAAGAAAAGAAAAAGAACGAAAGAAAGACGAAAAGAAATAATGGAAGAAACTAAAAGAAAGAAAGAAAAAAGAAAGAAAGAAAGAAAGAAAGAAAGAAAGAAAGAAAGAAAAAAACACAATAAGAAAGAAAGAACAGTTTGATTGTTCCTGATCTGTGTATTATTGTCCAGTGTGATTTTCAAATAAGTTATTAATCAGAAAAACATTGGCCTCATTACACAGATTTCTCAACGTCAAAGCATGAATATTTTTACACTGTTCTCAGATAAACTATGCCGAAATTGAACACACTTAGAATAAGAATGGGAAAAGAAAGAACTTTTATATATCTGTGTGTGTATGCGTGTGCTTATATGTGTGACAAGTGTAGGTGCAAAATGAAGAAGTATTTACGCATAAATGCATTCATTGTTTTCAATCTTTTATCCCGAACTTAATTCAGTAACGCTTCTTATATAGGCGAAGACAATGTAGTCACACATTCATTCAAAGGTATATTATTTTGAAATAAAATTTCTGGTTATATTAACACTATATCAGGTTTTATTATGCATGTCTTTGGTTGTATGTTTCGATTGAAATAATGTTTATTTTCGGTGCTTGTGTTGATTTTAAACCTCACCGCTGTTTTACAAATATTTAAATTTTTTGTACCACTTAATGGTTTAGATCTGTTTTTGTGAACTCTCCTGGGAAATATTTCTTTTCTTCTTCATTTTCTATCTGTATCCTATTATTTTTGGTTATGAAGGTTACAGCGAAATGAGTCATTTTCCAGCGTTTCTTTCATTGTATATGGCATTCATTAATCGTTCAAGTTTTACAAGTATTGTTATGTTTGATAGTACGAGAATTAACAACTAGAATTCGTAGACATTGACGAATCGACAGCGTTTATTAACTTGTAAGTCCTCATAACAGCGTTAATTGTTATATCTGTGTTAATAAAAAAAAATCTTTAAAATGCTAAGTTTCCAAAGATTGTGGGTATTTTATAATTCCTCTAGAGAAATTAAATGTGGTCCAAGACATCATGCCTATAATGTTTCTGATTTTTTTCTTTTTTTTAATTTAATTTGGGATCTTGATTCCGACATGTCATTTTTGTGTGTAAAATCGCGAAGAAAAGTATCCCTCCAAGTTGAAACGACGAAGAAAAATGACGTTATTTGAAGGATTGTACTCGAACGACGAAATAGTTTTCCAGAAAATCGACAGAACTGTTTTCGATCGAATTTACTGAGTTCTGGGCAGCCAGTTAAATTTGAAATTGCTGTGTCAGTACTGTTGTTAAATTCACTTGAGATTTCTCAAAGTGTTGTTGTTGCTGACGCAGAAATCTCTTTTAGCTCGGCTGAAAAAGACATTTATATATATATATATATATATATATATATATATATATATATATATATATATATATATATAAAATATAAAAAAAAAAATTCAGATTAAATTTCACTTACCAAGACAGGTCCAATAAAAAAATAATAATCCTCTTCGCTAAAATCTGTCGTATCGCCTGTTCTAAAGATTTGGTTTTACTGTGTAACATGGAGTAAGGAAAACAAAGATTGACAGAAATAAAACGAAGACACATGTAGAAACAATAATAGATTTATTTGGTCGCCATGTTACATTGTTCTCCCCTCCCCCGCCACCTGGACAGAAAACTGTACCCTTTTTCGTGAGTTATTTACCTTTTGACCCTAACAGTAATCAAACCATATAATAATTATCAATACGTGGTTATTTATATATTTCCTGTCCCATCTCTAGTGGGAATGAGATAAATCAACTTAAGTTAGTAAATTTATGAGTGATTACTTCCCTTAGTCGTTTTAATAATCGATACAAATAAAAATATTTATCTGCATTTAGACAAAACTATTTCCTTGGCAGAATGGACCGTTTAATTATTTAATTCCTTTAAACTTATGTTTCTTAGATTGCAGTCTTATTTGTTCAAGCTTTTCATGTGAAGCACTCAGATACTTTTGTCTATTAAGTAATCGTCTTGCGCAAAATTGGTCTTCAAACAGTTTTTGCTGTCGCCGTCTTTGTCGTTTTGTTGCTAATCTTTTTTTCCCCAGAGAAGTTTCCATTTCACTGTTATATTGAATACATACAATTTTTAATATGAAAAGATGTAAAACAAAAAGCGATTTATATAATACCAGGAGTGATCAAACGGATATGAGGACGTTCGGATATGGGGTTTTCTACTGTGTATATCTATTATGTTATATATAATATAAACTGTATATAGATCAGTCATGTGACTACTACTGCTGCTGATGATGATATACAAGTAGGTAGAGATCAAAGAATGACATGTTTATCTAGCCTTTTTATTCGGGGAGGGGGGGAATTATTAAGGAACCTTCAAAAGAATTCTAAACAGTGTAAACTATGAAGATGAAAAATCTGCAGAAGAAATATTGACGACATGCGATTTGGATGGAGATCAGAATTTGTATTTCGTAGTCCCCCACCCCGAATTAATCCTTCAGAAATCTGTATATGAAAACTGAACTTTATTTTCGGTTCGAACCCTGCGCTGCAGCCCCAGGGAGTAATACGCACCTTCTATGACCCACCCACTGTATCCCGGAATAGGGTCTTTAAAAGATTTTTTATAAATTGGTCGGTTTCAATATGGCGCAATGCCCCAAACTGTGGAAAGTGAAATTGTTTTGCGTCGATCTTCCTGACGAAGACGACCTGCCTTGAAAATCATTATTAAGCTCCACGTGTTTGCCTGGGTTTGAAAATGAATTGCTGGTTGTAGCAGGAAAAAAATGCAACAATCTCAGCAACAATTAAGACCAGATGTTTATCAAGTGGATTTTACAATTCAGCCACCCAGTGAGAATCAAACTCAGGGCAATAGAAAAAAAATGGGAAAGACTAAAGTGTTTACCAACGGGCTACGATAAAGACAAATTACCCCCCCTCGCTCTCTCTCTCTCTCTCTCTCTCTATATATATATATATATATATATATATATATATATACGGATATCTGTATATTCAGAAATTCACTTCTATCGATTTACTCCATTTACTTAGGAAATTTCTTGAATTATTTATTTCTGTTAAGAAACTACATGTCACTCATATTTAAATAATATATACGGATAGATGAATACATTTACTAATAGATAGATAGATAGATAGATAGATAGATAGATAGATAGATAGATAGATAGATAGAAACCGACAGGGACTTATACACAGAGAGAGAAATATATCTACAGGCTTAGATAGATAAATAGATCGATAGATAGTGTCTGTTCATATATATATATATATATATATATATATATATATATATATATGGTTGTATATTTAGGCAGCAATCCTTCCTTTATGCATGTTTCATTAAAAACGACAGACAAGGTACTACGGTTAAGCTTTTTATTTAATTTTTCTTGTGTTCTTGTATTTCTTTAAAGCGCTCGGGACTATAAAACATTTGGACAGTTTTTACACACCTTTGTCCAGAAAAGAAAGCTCTTGTTCGAACACAAGAAAAATTAAATAAAAGCTTAACCGTAGTACCTTGCCTGTCGTTTTAATGAAATGCATGTATATATATATATATATATATATATATATATATATATATATATATATATTGATAGTATCTGTTTATATATATATATATTTGTGTATGTGTGTGTGTGTGTGTGTGCATGCCTGTGTACGCTCGCTTATATGTGCATATGGGCGCGTACGTATATTTATCATACCACCAAAGCAAATAAAAATTGAAATGACAGCCTAGTAAATATATATATATATATATATATATATATATATATATATATATGTGTGTGTGTGAAAAGTGTATATAAATATAAATAAATATATATATGTATAATTATTTATATATTATATGCATACTTATTAGAAAGCGCTCAATATCAGAGATAGAGCTAACATATTTGGTTTGATATATATATATATATATATATATATATATATATATATATATATTAGAAAAAATATAGCAATATTCTTTATTTTAGGATACTACATCAAAAACATGTAAAAAAAAACGCTACACAAATGCAGTTATGTTTCGATGCGTATTAACACATCTCATCAGGTGTTAGAAAATAATTGGCCAGTAGACAATTTATTGAGAATTAAAAACACTTTTTTCACGAGAAAAGGAAGAATAAGAAAAAGAGTAAGAAAGAAAAGAGAGGAGATGGTTGCAGGGTTTGTTTTGTTTTTACTCTGATCACCAAATCGGAATGGCCTACGCTATGTTGAAATTAAGGGGGAAAAATAAAAGTTAAGAAGCAATCATACGTAAGAGGTCATGACCCGCAGCTTTAGAATCGTAGACAACAACCAGACGTCATATACGCTTCGGATGTAAAATGGCTATAGTGTTATACATTAGACATGTCATTTCCTATGAAAGATGAAAGGTAACTTAATAAGATACTCGATAAACTATATTCCCTGTGAGTTAAAAAAATTGATTTTACTGACAGAAAGATAAGCCTTATATGGTACAACAAGTTTTAACAAACTCTAAGAAGAAGCAATTGTCACATTTCAACGTTTAGCAAGATTGTACAGTCAAAGGTATGCTATGTTTACAATTAGCCATTAATTCAAATCTTTGATTCAATAAAGCATCCCTTTACAAGAACCTGATCGCCTGCATTTTTTCCTGTAAACACAGAAAACTAGATTCATATAAGGATCTACATGTTCTTGCCCGCTTTAAAATTTTCCATTTCATTTTAGGAGTTTTATTTTCATCTTTCAACCTCCTAAAATCTTTAGATAGATAAATAGATTAAATCTGTTCATAGATAGATAAACCGAAACTGGCAGAGATATATACACAGAGAGATATATCAACAGGCTTGCATAGATAGTGTCTGTTCATATATATATATATATATATAGATAGATAGATAGATAGATAGATAGATAGATAGATAGATAGATAAATTAAATCTGTTCATAGATAAATAGGCCAAAACAGGCATATATACATACACAGAGAGATATATCAGATTACATAGATAGTTTCTGTTTATATATATATATATATATATATATATATATATATATATAGTGTCTGTTCAGATAGATAGATAAATAGATAGATCTATTCATCCTGTGTTAACACAAGAGATGCGAAAAACTAACTGAAAAATATTGAACTTCCTGTCTCATTTTTTGTTTGTTTGTTTCTTTGCCATCTATATTTCGGCATTCCATCGACTTCACTGTTGTTTTTTTCCCCTCATCTCATTCATTTTCAAGAAATAAAAACAACTTATCAATGATGACACGTGTCAAATTTCGGAAATGTCATTATACACCAGCATATAACATATATATATATATATATATGTGTGTGTGTGTATGAATGTGTTTTTTTGTGCGTGTGCCTGTATGAACTTGTATATATGGGTAAAAGAAAAATGTAAGTATTTAGTGACAGATTTGAGTCATTTGTGTGTAGAGCGTTCAATTTAAAAAACAATGGCGAACAGTGCGAAGAGACAATTTATTGATTGACCTCCAGAAACCAATATTATTCTGCTTTCAGTCAATTAAAAGCAAAATGAAATGAAAAGAATAATAAATGAATGAAAAATAACGAAGAATGAATAAAAGAGAAAGTTTGAGTAAAAAAGAAAATAGAACAATGTAAAAAAAGAACGTGTAAATGCAAAACTGGCAATAAGAAAGAAGGATTGGAGAGGACAGTTGAAAAAGAAAGAATTTAAGGCCAGTATTAGACTGATGAAGAGTTCTCATCAATTTATAGTTGAGCTGGATAGATGAAACTGTAAGTTCTATGCTGACAGTTTCTTTTCTGGCAGTTCTTGTGGGAATTCCCTCCCGGCTCCATGCTTTCCAGCCAACTTTAATAAACAAAAATTTAAATGCAATGTTAATCGCTATCTACTGTTCTCCTGATTACTCTTTCCTCTTCCATCGTATTATTAATTTTTTCCCCTAATTCTTCCACGCCCTTTAACTGCTTGTGCCTTAGTGACTTTACTACTTTGCATTGGTTCTTCCAGAGAAGTTTCCATTTCACTATTATATTAAATACATACAATTTTTAATATGAAAAGATATTAAGCAAAAAGCGATTTATATAATACCAGGAGTGATCAAACGGATATGAGGACGTTCGGATATGGGGACTTCTACTGTATATATATACTTAGGTGTTTTAAATCTTTATAAATATTTCAATAGTTAAGCAATTTTTTTTTTTTTTTTTTTTAGATATAGTAAAAAATTGTTTTAAATATTTATGACAGTTAGATTTAAGTTAGGAATATCCGAACAGTGACGTTCCATATCACGTGACGTCCGCGTCTCGCGAAGGAAGCTACTTGCTAATAAACAGTAATTTTAATTTATTTGTAACAAACAGTTATTTCTGATGAAAAATTGAGGACAATTTGAAATATCAAATATATATAAATAAATAAATACTTTCATAAAATGAAACATTATAATTTTCAATTTGAAATTTTTATATATATATATATAATGTTATATATTATATAAATTGTATAAAGAGGAACAAAAAGAAATGTAAATAAAAATATAAATATAACAATGAAAAGGAAAAAAAGGAAAAAAGAAAGAAAAATAGTAAAAAGGAAGAAATAAAGAACAAACAGAACAAAAGAAAGAAAGAAAGAAAAAAAGAAAGAAAGAAAGAGGATATAGAAAATTGTAAAGAATAAAGAAAGAGAGGAGGGAAGAAATAATGAACGAAAAGAACAATGAAAAGAAAACAGGAAAAAAGAAAGAGAAGATAGAAAAAAAGCAATGAAGCAAAGAAAGAAAGGAGGAAATAAAGAATACATAGAACAATGCAAAGATTAAAAGTAAAGGCGAAAGAAAAAGTAAATAAAATATAAGGAAAGAGAGAAAGTGAATAGAACTAAGCAAAGAAAGAAAGAAAGAAAGAAAGAATGAATTCGTTAAAGCATAGAACGTCTACCGGAAATGATTATAGCCGTTCTATACAGTAAATATTAACCGAATAGTTAACATTGCTATCGATTGAAGATTATAAAAAAATTTAAAAAATAAAAATCTTGAGACAGCATTTCAAGAAATTAAACATCTCAAGTTCATATGTTATAGTTCTTTCTAATATTGATGAGTTTCCCCGCAACCTTTTTGTTTTCGGTCGTGTGGAAAGTTAACGATTGGATTATATACAAGGTACGATGGATAAATTGTCGTCTAAACGTTGCAAGAGTGAAAATATCACTGACATCTTATTTTAATAGATATATTTATCAAAAAGGCAAAAAAATAATTTGAAATACTAAAGATTAATTTTCTTCAATAAAATCGCTATTAGGTTCAAACACAGCCTCCAGTCGACTTCGGAATCTTTTGTAACTCTTCGGGACTGTCTACGTGTTTAATTTGGTGAATACTGCCATAATCCTTTACTTCAGTTTATCTTTGGTGTTACAAGGAATTTTGTTGGCCTCTCGCTCAACTTCGACTCACACATAATAACCAAGAGGGGTTGCAGTCTGGGGAGTTAGGTGGCTAGATGTAAGGGGTGATGTGGCCACAGAAATTGTCTGACAGACATGACCGGCTTCAATTGCTTGTGTCGCATGGTGCAGAGTCCTGTAGCCAGACGTGGTGTCTTTCAGCAGTCATCCTCTTGTCTCAGGGCAACACTATCTCCTCAAGGCACGATGTAGGCCGGCGTGTTGAGTCTAAGACCCTGTGGGAAGATGAATAGGGGGCATAACGTCGCCATCATTAGTGATCACTGTAAACATCATGATGTTGACTGGATATATCACCCAACTCTTTCTGAATCCTCTTCACTGTTTTCCGATTGACACCCAAACACTCTTAAATGTTTGTATTGGGTGCAAATGCCAAGAAGTACCGGATGCCGTTTCCAAATTTCTGGTTGAGTGAATTGCATCACGGTGCTCTTTTTCTCGTAGACGGCGCCCAACTGACCCTACTATATTGTGAAGCCGACAAAATCAAAAACAAACACGCATGCGCGAAATTAAAAATACAAAATGGCGACAATTTACCCATCATACCCTATAGTTATTTTCTCTTCTAGTTACATGTTCTACCTATTTTTATTGTTGCTGATATTAAAGTGTTCACGAGATATGGCCATTGTTTTTACCGAGCTAAACAATGGACTGAGGCTAAGTGCTAAGAGAGTTTTGTATTCACAGCTGAATACCATAGGCCGGTGTTCTAACCAATGTAAAAGCCGGAATTAGGAATGTCAAATGATAACAGACACTTTATACTAGGAAGGTTACAGTATACAGTCTTCCGTTGTTTCATCGTGATAACTGATATGTTCCGGAAAGGGATATATTTGTTCGAAGTAGCAAAGTGGTTGTTGACTACTGTAACCGAGTAGGACAATCTAGCAGGTAACCATAATGGACTGGTCCTCGTCGTAGTGGTAGGCAATAGGCGTAGGCTTGTACCTCCACATCAGTCTGTATTTATGGCTGACACCAGAAAATCATATTACTGTGAGGGGGGATCCAGGTGTATGCATATTCATTACATCAATAACGTATCAAATTAAGCATTCATGTAGTAATTAAAAAGAACAACACAGATGAGGCAATAGTCGGAATATAAATAGTGTAAATAATGCTTTGGCTTGTTTGAAAATATATGAAAGAATCTTACATGATTTTTACCGTCAAAAATGGTGACATTAGTTAAGTAATTTTGCATTGGCTATTTTTTCTACATGAGTGATTAAGATTTTATCAGTCCAATTAACTTTATTACCCCAAGTAAGAAAGAATTCTGATTTTTCTGGACTTACACGAAAGAAAAGAAATAAAAAAGCATTTTATTAGCAGGCTGATACCCCCTTCCTTACTAATAAGATTTTCTGTTTTTATACAAATACGGGACATTATCAATTATTAACGTCGAGTAACGCTTTCTAACAATAACAACACAATATCTCTTTACCAAGTTGGGAAAGCTAGGCTGCGTAACTGATAGAGTCACATTGTTTTTTTTTTATATTATAGAATAGATTATTTATTTCTAACTGTAGTAGTGGTAGTAGCATTATTTACTTTTTAACGAGATCAAACGACGCCAACGGGATTTAATGGCTACCATTGTTGAAAGAAGAATGAAAACAATGAAATAGAATCCTTTTACTCCGAATAACGACGTTCGGTTTCGAATTTTATTATCTGACATCCTGGCAAGCAATTTCAATTGTTGCCATGTGTGTGTGTGTGTGCGTTTACGTGAAAATATGTGTGTACGCAAGTGTTTTTGTGTGTGTGCGCGTGTATGCATGTGTATGCGCCCCTCTGTTTAATTTTCAGTTTCCCACTACAAAATGTCTGAACTGTAAAAAAAAAAAAAATAAGGATTCGCCTGGAATAATCCCCTTGTGGAAAATATCACGTGACACATTATGCGTGACCTCACTTTATGCTTCCGCTCGAGGTCAGCCAAGGATTCACAAGGGCTTCTTATTTTATGTGCCATGTCCCTTCAGGGCGTGGACGATCGTATAATTTTCAATTCACTCCCCTCATAATGGACGGTACGATTGCACTCTTAAAGGGACGTCTTGCTTTGAATGTCTGCAAAGGCTCAAGTTCACCTCAGACCATAAGTGGAGCTCAGATGTACGATTCATCCCTAAAGATGCTGGAAAAATATTCGGCTTCTTTAATAAGGTTTCTCGTGTATGCAGACTGTCAAACAAAAAATAAAATACTGTTTAAAATAAACAGAGCGTCTACTCAAATACGGGCATCCACAAAAAATAACTTTTGTAGTAATAAAAAATACGTTGGATCAAAAAAAATAAAATTCATCAGTCTTATTCAACCCCAGTATAGACTCTTCACTGGGATTGAATATTCTTTTCATCAGTTGAAATATGCTTATTCCCCATATGAGGTGATTTTGGATTTTCTTGTGTATATATATATATATATATATATATATATATATATATATATATATATATATATATATATTGGTTTTGTTTATTTTGTTTTACGGCATATCAAGCTCAATGGGTTATTTAATGCCGAAAAGGTTTCTATTTTTTTTTTTTTTTTGCTGATAATATTTTCTTTTGTCAAAAATCTGTTTCTGGTAATATATTTTTCTTCAAAAATGTATAGCTGGTAAAATTTTTTTCAAAAAAGTATTACTGGTAATAGTTAACTATTTGCCCGTACCTGGGAGCCTGACAGGTGCTACCATTCTGTGTCAGGGTGGACCAGGAGGTTTTGAGGAGCGTGGAAACACCTCTTAATTATGGGTGTTCCCAGGTCCACCCTGACACAGAATGGTAGCACCTGTCAGGCTCCCATACACACACACACACACACACACACACACATATATATATATATATATATATATATATATATATATATATATATATATATATATATATCGTCCTGGGTAAGACGATAAACTACATCCAGCAGCAGTTTATCGTCTTGCCCAGGACGATATATATATATATATATATATATATATATATGTGTGTGTGTGTGTGTGTGTGTGTGTGTGTGTGTGTGTGTGTGTGTGTGTGTGTGTATATGCGAAGTCTGTCTGAAAAGTAACGGGACATGTGTCAAAACAATTTATTTCAGTTTTAAACAGCAAACTACATGGTTTGTTTTTTCCCTCGAGTTTAAGGCACTTTTCCCTCTTTCTCTGCCATGCTTCTCTGCATTGCTGGAAGGATTCTCCTTGGATGCCCTTCAGATCCGTCGTTACGGCCGTCTTGACGGTCTCCTTCAAAACGGGTCCCCTTGATGATCCCCTTGAACTTGTGAAAAAGAAAAATATCACTCGGAGCAAGTATAGGGAAGCTGAATAGGGATGTTGTTTCTGCACGGCGATGTTCTTCTCGGCCAGGAAATGCCGGATGCTGAGAGCGATGGGAGCAGGCACATTATCGTGAACCATCCACAATTTGTCCTACCACAAAATCATGTGAAAAAAATGGAATGTTTTCAGAAAGCTAATATTTACGGCATATAGGTTGTCCATAAAGTCCGTGTGCATTTTAAAAAATTATAACTTTATTTGTATTTACGATAGAAATAATTTGTAAAAAGGATTAGAAAGAAGTAAATCTATACTTTTTAAGGTTTTATTGAAATTTTATTTAGGTTTCCATATGTCCTCCATCATTAGCAATACAAAAGGTAATATGATTTGGCAGTTCACGGAAAACATTTGCCAACAGATTTACAGTAATGCCTGAAATCACATTAGTTATTTTAGCTTTACTTAAAACTAGGTACATTAAACTTTATAACATTTTTTACAGATTATTTCTGTCGCAAATACAAATAAAGTTATAAATTTTTTAAAGTGCTCACGAACTTTATGGACACCCTGTATATATATATATATTTATATGTATATATATATATATATATATATATATATATATATATATATCATGCCAATCCACTTATCCCCCTTTTGCCCATAGTTCACGCAATACACCCAGTCCCGTTACTTTTTAGACAGACGGCGTATATATCGACTGGTGCAGTATAAAGACCTAGAACGCGTGAGAATTTATGCATATATACTTGAACGTGCCACTACATATGTATAAATTGTCATGCGTTATATGACTTTTATTCGGTGCCAGTTAATAATGGCCACACATATATAAAATTGGATATCGCTTTCGATATAAATGAGTTTTACATTCCTTATATTTCTTTCTGCAAGCATTAAGAAAACTGGTTCCCTTTTAACCAAACAAAAGAACCCCGTTGCTTCCACACAGATTCAAAAACTTGCAAAGCACGCACATTTCAGCGCGCACAAATACGCATATATCTGAAATAATCATGAAAACGTGCATTGACGCGTATTGCTGTAAATATATATGCACACACACACACGCGCACACAGACACAGATACACACACACATACATATATATATAAGCATTCATATAAAAATCCATAAACACACGTGTACTTATATATAAGCATCAATACACATTCCAAAGTATGAACATGTGCATAATTACACACACACGCACACATATAGAAAGAGATCACTGAAATACATTCTCATGGAAGAAGACCTACACATTTACACATCCATACATACAACGCACACACATACACACACGCGTGCCGCGCACACTCACACACACACACAAAACACGCCAAAAATGAAAAATACATAAGTTGTTTTTGTAACTCAATATAAAAGAAAAACAGAAAAATAAACAGTGAATTGATATTATCTCCTGACGAGTGGACGGAGCGATTGCTAGATGGTCCTTCAACGAAATCTAGAGTCGGGATGCTAAGAATAACATCAATTAGCTAAGTGATGAATGTTATATTTGTATTAATCCCATATGTGTGCAGGGGGGGTGAGTGTCTGTGTGTGTGTGAGTGCCTGTGTTTAAAAATGGAGACTGAGGTCGACAACGAGAGGTGACATCCTGTTTAGTGCTTGAACGCAATCTGTACGCCTGATTATTGCATTGAATCATGAAAGAGCCTGGCGCTGCACGGTATTTACCTCACTACCCACTTGTATATTTACATACGCTCTATTTCTGATATTGTGTACTTTTTT